CATAATCATTACTATTCAGATTGTTGGTACAACAAATATAATAAAAATAAATAAATATTTTATTTTAAATTTTATTTGTTTAATTTATATATAATAAAAAAATAAAAAAAACAAAAAAAAGTTTAGCGTTCCTCTACTCTACATAAAAATTTTTTTTCTTTTCTATTTACAAAATTATTTAAATCTTTCTCAGGTCTATAACCTATATTAATAAATAATTTACTTAAATTAATATAATTATTAATTATTCTTCTTTAAAAATTATCAATTGCTTTTTCAACGAATTCTTTGCTTTCTTTCTTATTCAAGATCTTATCAGTTTTTATGTCTTCTTCTAGTAATTTTGAATGACCAAATTCTTTGTCTTTGTCTTCAGTTAATGTAAGCCAAATAGAAACAATTTGTTTATTATTATTGTTAAAGCAGAATTCTTTTTCTATATGTGTATCAAAAACTTTAATTTTTTGGTAAATTATTTTCATTTTTTTTTTAATGTTAAAAATTAATAAGAATATTTAATTGTGATTATTTATAAATCAAATTTTGATTTTTAATAAATCTAAAAAAAAAAATAGTTAAATGCAATAATATTTTTAGATAAATTAATTAAAATTAATTACGTTATTTTTTTTTTCTTACAAACTTCTTTGTTTATTCTATTAAAAAAAATTTTTAGCTATATTTAAAATTAAATATGTATAAATAAAATTTTACCTGTTTAAATCTTTTTATATCTTGATATATTTTAATACCTAATATGATAATATTAGCTATAACTAAAATTCTAATGATTGCAATAGGTACTATTTTAAATATTTAATTTTTTTTAAAATTATTTGTAATATCATGATTGTTCTTATATACAATTAATGAATATATTAAATGCAGGCGTAAACTAAATATGTATTTTGATTCTAATTACTTAATTAATTTATTTCAATAAAAAAATTAAACTTTGTAAAATTAAAAATATTATATAAAAATAAAATAAATTATTTTATTATTTTCTTACAAGAAAAAAAAAATAAAAATTTTATTTTAACTTTGTTGATAATTATTTATTAAACGTAATTATTTTTTTTTCAAGTTTTTTTTATAAAATATATATTTTTTTTAATTTTTTTTTTATTTAGATATCTGATGATAATGATGAACCTATGCCAGTTGTAATTGAAGGTGACAAAAATGTAAGAGATGATCTTGTTCAATGGTTAAGAAGTGGCAAAATTGATTTCAATTACAAAATCACTACAAATTTTTTTACTGGTGAAAAAGAAAATCATTCTGATGT